AGAGGCGTTGGGGGGGGGAAGAACCGCGCAGGCGCTTCCCTTTGCAGGGAGGCGAAGGGGTTAACAAAAGGGCCGGTGTGGAGCCAACTGGAGATCCGTCTTAAATCGCTAGCACTGGTTTGGGCTGACTTACTGATCATATGGAGTCAGCTATAGGTAAGAAACAGCACTGCAGGGAACCTGGAGGGGGGCAGATGAGTAGGGAATGGCCCGTCTTTGTTACGGGCCTTGGGAGGCCTGTAGGAGAACAGAGCGTCTGGCACTGTGTCGGTATGGGGATGGCCAAGGTCGGTATGGGGATAGCCGACGTCGGTATGGGGATGGCCAAGGTTGGTATGGGGATGGCCAAGGTTGGTATGGGGCTAGCTGACATCAGTACGGGGATAGCCAAGGTCAGTACGGGGATAGCCAGGGTCGGTGTGGGGATGGCCAAGGTCGGTATGGGGATGGCCAAGGTCGGTATGGGGATAGCCAGGGTCGGTGTGGGGATAGCCGACATCAGTATGAGGATAGCCGACATCAGTATGGGGACAGCCAAGGTCGGTATGGGGATAGCTGACGTCGGTATGGGGATAGCCAAGGCTGGGGAGCCGGTTGGTACCGGCTGCGCTGTTCTGACAGGGGAATAAGGGGGGTGGAAGCTGGAGTTCACCAAAAGGACAGGGTGAAGAAGAGGAGCGGATGAAGCAAACGACCCCTGAAGACCACCGACTCAAATCACTGAGCACGCGCAGTCGGGAGGGACTTATGGAAATGACCTCTGGAAACTAATGTTAATACGAAGCGGGGACAGGTTCTGCCTATGGATAGGGGCATTGGGCAACTTCATGTATAGGTAACACTTTGCTGCATGTGAACGGGGCAAGCTGCCGCGTGGAGGTGCGCACGGCTTTGGTGGGACGGCCTCCGTGCTGCCCCGCGCTGAATCACCATACCGACTGTGCAGGCTGGCAGACGGGGGAGGCTGTTTCCGCACGTCACCTTTTCTCCGTGGGAGTCAGTGCCTCAGCCCTCCCCCTCGGAGCAGCGCTGGGTCTGGGCACCAACGCTCCGCTGGAGTCGGCTCCCCAGCAGCTCCTGGCCAGGGATCATGCCCCGTCCCCGAGCCGGGGCCATTGGCCCCTCCGCAGGCCTCCAGCCGCGGGCATCGCCAGGGCCTGAGCAGGCACAGGAGGCAGGGATGCCTTCCCGCACACCAGTGCCCCCCATTTCGGGCACGGCCATGGATCCCGTACGTTGGTGGGGTGTCGCCTCGAGAGGATTTACCGCAGCTCGCGTTACTGAGTGGAAAAGCGTTCAAGGTCTGGCAGTTTTCTAAGAGTGAGTCACAGAATCCCAGCCTGGCCAGGGCTGGCAGGGCCCTGGGGAGCTCACCCAGTGCCACCCCCCTGCTCAGGCAGGCTCACCCAGAGCAGGGGGCACAGGACAGCGGCCAG